AATAATAAAATTACAATTATTAATAATAGGGCCTAATTGTTGTAATAATACATGTCATTATTGATCCTAACAAGTTTGGAAAAATGTTAAATGTTATAATAATAATAATAATATTAATAATAATAATTATTATTATTATTATAATAATAAAATTACTATTATGCCTATAACAATAACAATTATATTGATGATGATGATAATAATGATAAGTAAACATTAATAATAATAATACTTAATAAAATATAATTAATAATAATTAATTTATCAAGGCCAAGTTTAACAAAAGTAGCCTCACCTAAGCATGTCTAGGCCTTTTAATAGATCATAAAAACTTATTCATGGATGGAAAATGTTAAATGTTAGTAATAATAATAATAATAATAATATTAATATAAATAGTAATAATAATAATAATAATAATAATAATAATAATAATAGTAAATTGTTAATAATAGGGCCTAATTGTTGTAATAATACATGTCATTATTGATCCTAACAAGGTTGGAAAAGTGTTTAATGTTATAATAATGATAATAATAATAATAATAATAATAATAATAATAATAATAATAATAATAATAATAAAATTACTATTATGATGCCTATAACAATAACAATTATATTGATGATAATGCTAATGATAATAATATACAATAATAATGACGATAATAAAGTAAACAATAATATATTAATAATAATAATACTTAATAAGATAAAATAATAAATAAATCAAGGCTAAGTTTAACTAACAAAAGTATTCCGCCTATGCATGTCTAGGCCTTTTAGTAGATCTATATCTAGTACTTTAGATCTAGTTTACACATAACATATACACTGTAATGTTCCTTTTTTTACTTGAAAGCTGGGGCCTAGCTTTGCCTATCCAATTATTGTCTAAGCTATATGTACAAGAATAGATAGACCTAGAATAATTAATAAATACCTAAAATCTTCTAACACTGTATACTAGCCTATACCTACTCTACACTAGACAAGTATTTATACACACAGCCGATACGCGGCGCCCTACTCCACTTGCCCCATCTTGCAATTCGGTTGATTACACGATTTTTTCGTTCTTCTATCTATATTCTTTGATCAAAATACGTTACTGACGACTTGTTCATGTTTAATCAGGGGTGGCGCCAGCTGGGGTGGGGAGGGGGGTGGCCAGGGCCCCCGTCTGGAAGAGCTTCCCCTCCCCCACCCCATCGGGGAGAAAAAGCACAATTCGTTGGGGAGAAAAATAAAATCATATATTTTGCTACATATTAGTAAACTCTAAAGTCGTTTAAATATGCCTTTGTGAAACCCCTAAATTGTTAAAGCTTTCGGGGCTTCGAGCTTGGACCACTTTCGAGGCCTTTTAATCGAAGCTCGAAAGCGCCCACTTTGTTTTCCTCGTGGAAATCTGATTCTTCATCGGGGTAATCGGGCCCCACGTTCGGAACCTCGCACTCCCCCCCCCCCCCCCCCCCCCCCCCCTCAACTAATAGTCAAACTTAATGACCATGATTTGCTGTCCAATGTGATTGAAGCTCCCTGTTCACAAATGCTATCCACACCACTCGGTCAGATGCAATGTTTAGTTTCACAATAAATCTACTGTACATTTATTATTGTACTACACATGCTGTTACATCAAATGAGTCTTTTTTGTGGATGTTTTACAAAGAAAATCCCTTATAAAATCATGTAATTCTTTAAATGACTATAATTAATCGAGGACCCACTCTACAAGTACGTTATTATTACTGCCGCCAAGGAGGTTATGCATTCACTTAAAATTTACCAGAGTGGTACATAAAAATCTAAGAAAAATCACAAGGTTTGTTGCAACAGAATATCGGCCTATTAGCTTGCTTGAAGTTACCAAGCCGATGGTTCACAGGTTTAAAGTTTGGATATAGGTTGTGGGTGCTTTATTGCAGCCACAAAGTTTAAAAGTATTGAGAACACACTCCTGACCAATCTCCATGATGGCATTCTCTCACTGCTTCAATAGACCCTGAATATTCTGTGCCTGGCTGGTAGATAGGGGTAATACTGGCGATGGTTGACTTACAGAAGAGTTTTTTACCAGACCTGAGACAAAGCCACCATATCCTGGAACAAGTTTTTTTCCCTCTGCTGCTACTAATATGTAAGTAACTAGACATGATACTCTAGATTGCACTTTGTTACACTGTTCAGTGTAGGCAGATTGAATACAGCTCCCTCAGAAAATTTGGGCCCAGCACAACCTGAACTGGTGCCAGGGTCACAATCATATCCCCTTTCAAGGAGCACATTTTGCTTCGTTTGTAGACAGGAAGCGTCCAGAGCTCAAACATCCGGGTTTTACCTCTTGTACCTTGATTCCACTAGCATTGTTCAACAAAGTTTGAACCATGAATATTTGTAATAATTTTGTTTAGATTGTCCCACTCGAGATGAAATATGACAAACATTCATGGTTCAAAGATGTTGAACAGTGCTGGAATCATAGTACAGGAGGTGAAACCCAAGTTTGGAGAAAATGCTCCGGACGCTGTCTACGTATGAAGCAAGATGCGCTCATGAGAGTGGATATGGCCAATATCCTGGCATCAGTTTATATAATAATGGTCGTGTTGGGCCAAAAAATGTCTGAGGGAGCTGCATTCATTCTGCCTGCGCTAAACTGTAGAGTTCACCCGAGAGTATCATATCTGGTTACTGCACGTGCAGTGGGGAGCGTAGTGAAACAACTTGTTCCAGGATTTGGTGGTTTTGTCTCAAGTACTGGTGAAAAGGTTACCCCTATCAACCAGCCATTAAAAAACTATTTTGTCATCAAGGAACCACGGAAGCAGCCAGAGGAAACCACCATCCATGGAAATTTGATAGGAGTATGTTCAAAAAACTTTTGCTGTTGGTGGTGGTTGGAAGAAGAGAAAAACTATGTCAAAACTAACTTCAAATGATTTTAAATATTCTGGTGTCGTTTTATCATGTTCCCCACGATAAGGTTTGTCTTATTCAACCCTAAGGCATAAGAAGCGAATGGTCACTGCCAGTAAGGTAGAGCACTTGAGGAAATTTCACGTGGGTGAACATGTTGGAGTTAAAAACAATAGAGATGAGTTAATTAAGCATGTAAATGGATGTGTAGTTAAGAGGTTGGGTCCTCTCACCTATTTGGTGCGTGTTGCGGGAGCCCTACGCTATTGTCATGTCGACCATCTGTTGGCTAAGGGGTTCCTGTCAATGACGTAAGTGGATATACTCCAAGGGAAGTTCATGAGAAGCAGCGGAATCCACATGTGGTAACACACCCTGAGCCTTTGCCAACGCAAAGTTCTACACTCTCTGAAACTCCAATGGTGGTCGAAAACCCCAGAGTGAGTGAACCGGTTGACAAAGGTCAAATAGTCCTACTGTACTAGCTCAAAAACCCCTATTGCGAAGATCCTCACGAATAGTTAAGTCCCCACACCGTCTGAATTTGTAGTTCAAAGTTAGTGGGGGGAGAATGTAGTGTACTGCACTCTTAATCTATTCCTAATTAAAACATTACTCTAAAAACATTGGTTACTTATTTTTTGTATGATATATAGGTCAAATGTTATACCAATAATCAAGTTTCATTGAACATTCAAAATGGCCGGCAATATGGCCGCCAAATATATTGCTAAGTCAATGTTTTGTATTTAGAATTTAAAACAATGCTTACACTATACATTTGATTTTATGCGATTTTTAGTCAATGAATTATAAAAATTAATGGCTCTCGTTGAAAATCCAAGATGGCCGCCAAAATGGCCACCAAACAACCCCATGGGACATTTTGAGGATTACAAAAATGTTAGTTAAAAAATATATCCTGTGGGTGCATGGGAATTCCCTGTTCCTACCCAACTGCTATAATATATCACTCAATAAAATATCTGCACCCATTATTTCAGATTTAATCAGGTCATTCATGTCAAGATCACATTTGTTGGCTTTTGTTTTTTCAGCTGCCAAATATAGTTCTACATATTCCTTCCATCTCTTCTTTATGTCTCCACCTTCTATTAGAATATTCCCGTCTTTGTCGCATATAGATTTCGATATTTTCCCACTACTACTTTTCTATTAATTTAACTCCTTAACCTTCTCGTACATTAGGTCACTTTTTCCACTCTTTTCTAAATCTTCTAACTCAGCATTTTTTGCTGTACCATTCCATTCTCGCTCTGTCAGTTATTCTTCTAAGCTGATCATTTATCTTTCTATATTTCTGTCTACCTTCTTCTGAATTAATACTTTTCCATTTTTTACGTTCATACATTTTCTTTAGCATTTATTTTGTCACCCATGGTTTCTTTTCTTCTCGTATCTACCTTTTACGTATCCTATATTCATTTCCGCACTTTTTGTGATTGTTTCTTTTACATGTTTCCAATGCTCTTCACATGTGTTAAAATCTTCTGTCGGCTTTATGCTTTTTTCAATTTGACTGGTATATATATATTTACAATGTTGTCGTTGTTAAGAGCGGTTACATTCCATCTTTTGACTTTCTTTCCTCTATTCAGTTTCCTCAATTTAATTTTTGATGTTTTTATTGTAAGTAGATTGTATTCAGAATTCACATCTGCGCCTGGGTAAGTATGGCAGTTTTTAATGCTATTCCTGTATCTCCGCTTCACCATTATGTAGACTATTTGATGCCTTCCTGTATCTCCCGGAGCCTTCCATGTGTACCGTCTTCTATTCGGTTACTTAAAAATGGTATTACAAATAACCATTTTATTTCTTTCAGCAAAATCGGCTAATAAGTCTCCTCTTGCCTTTCTTTTCCCAAGACCATACCTTCTAATAAGATTACGTTTTAGGTTTCCTTCTCAAATTATAGCACTGGAGTCTTCCATTAATACAATGTTAGTACTTCCCTTGTTTGTATGTATCAATTATTTCCTCTAAAATGTCATACAATCGTTCAAACTCTTCATCATACTCAGGTTTTGATGTTGGCATATAAACTTGCATTGTAATTAAATCAACCAACTCTGCTTAAACCCTTGCTACTTTCATTTAAATACTTAACTTTTTGCATTTTTTGGCTAAATATTATTGCTACTCCTTTTGCATCTTGTCTCATTCCTCCAGAATAATTACCTTGTATCCATCATAAAAAATGTTTCCACTTTCCTTCCACCGTACCTCGCTTATCCTAATATTTCCAAATCCATTTCTTCCATCTCCTTAAATACATTCTTTAATTTTCCATTTGTTAACATGGTTCGTACGTTCCAAGTTCCTATTCTTTGTAGTAATTATTGTGTTGAGGATTTTGCTTGATGAAGACCCTGTCACCCTCAATGACATTGCCGGACGCAGTGTCCATCTCTTCTCCCTCTCCTTCATCAGGGACCCTGTTAACGTCTATTATTAACGTCTGCCATGTTACTAAGGGATAAAACGGTAATGAGGTGGTCTCCTCCCACGCCGCCAGAGCCTAATGTAAATACATATGGGCCTATATGTTATATGTATATGGTATAATACAATAATATTAAGCCATTAAAAAATATAAACAAAAACAAAGTAAACTAGGTAGGCCTAGATACAAATGTAAAGCAAAGAGAAGTGAACATTAAATATAACATTATAAGAAAAAGTAATATGGAATATTAAACATAGTGTACACAAAATAGTGATAAGTGAGTCGGGAATACGGTGATATGAAAAAAAAAGTCAAGGGTGTGTGAATGTAGAATCACTCAGAATATCCATGTCACGATTAAGGCATAAAATGTGAGTATTGAATTTGATAATGAGTTTGAGCTCTGAGCGTCTTCTGTCGAGAGATGGAAAATTGTTAGCTAGCAGAACACATAGGATGTTGTCAATGGAGTGGTCAGGAGCGTTATATAGTGTTCGGCGACAGGGAACCCCTTGCTCTTGTTACGGACGGACTGTTTGTGGTTATTAAACCAAGTATTCGAAGAATCACAGGTGAGGGGAGGGGATTTATAGAAGAAGAGATGGGTGGGAGCCTAACAACGCTGTCGGTGACGAGATGCTTCCATACTTTACAGCGTGGTTTGTTGCATATAATGTTACCATGGGAAGTCGGGTTAGGGAGTAAATTGGACTATGTGAGAACAGTGATGGCGCCAGGACCTGCCCGACGGAGGTGCTAAAGGCCCCGACAGGGGAGGGGGATAGTGGAGCGAATCGAGTCTCACTTGGCTGGGGCCAGGGGGGCCGCCTAGGGCCCCCCGGTGTGGGCCCAGGGGGCTTCGGCCCTTGAAGCCACGGATATTTGACGAATTATGGCGAATTTTTATTACTTATTTGATAGGCATCAAGCTACCATAATAGACTTCATGTAGGCTAGGCCCTATATTTTTTCTAATGTCGAAATCAGCTTCCAAAACCAAGACAATTTGAATACCGGTAACACAAGAAACAAAGAGTATGCAATGTAACCATCTAATTTATTTTCAAATCCTCATTCTTGAAAGTGAAATTCTACATTTTTGAAATTTTGCATGAATCTGTCAATGCTGTCAAGATCAAGGTTGCTTCTCCTATCACGATGTATTCAAAGCATCATAAGACTATCCAAACGAACATTTGTCATAACAGAACGCAAATTATTTTTAATTAGTCTCATTGAACTATTATTATTAATATTATTATTTTTATTATTATTATTATTATTATTATTATTATTATTATTATTATTATTATTATTGTGATGAAAAGTTAACAAAAATAGTTTAATGAAAATAAATATTTTGTTTTAAATTTGTTTGTTCCCCGAAAAAATGTATTCGTCTTCCCCGACGGAGGGGAGGGGGATATGCTTCCCAGACGGGGGGAGGGGCTATAACCCCTGCTAACCGCTCGGCCATTCAACTCACTTGAAGTTGAGCGGTTGGTGGTTAGCAAGTAAGGGAGGGTTTGGAATACAGATTTTTCATATTAGGGTCCTGTTTAAAGGGTACGTTAATCTTTCTTGAGTGTTGGCTAACTTAGTAGTATGAGAATTGAAGTTAAAAACTGATGCTATTAACGGTCAGAATCAGATTTGTGTTTGGGGTTCAGAGCGGGGGTGTGAGGCTGCATTAAGAGCTGAAATTTAATAATTTTAAAGGGATAGCCACTGTTAAGAAAGTGTTTGGTAAGGGAGCATATCTGGGCTTCGTAGTCAGCTGTGTCGGAGCAATACGTTTAATACTGAGACACTGGCTATATATGATAGATTTCTTCAGGTTGCTGGGATGGGAGCTTCGATAGTTGAGATATTGGTGGTTATCAGTAGGCTTAGAATAGAGCGTTGGTTAGTAATGTTAAAATTAACATCAAAGAAAGTAAAGCACTAACTCCATGCACTGCTGATTTCAGAAATTGTAAAAATTCATGTTCTGTAATAAAATATGCGGACGATACGGTAATATAAATAATGAAAATGAAACTATGTATAGAATATTGCTGGTAGACTTTGTAAACTTAAGCAAAGAAAATAATCTTAAATTAAATGAAATTAAAATTAAATTTATTTAGGCTGTATTTTTAATGTTATATGGGCTACAAACACTGACAAACTTGTTATAAAAGCATGTTAAAAAATCTTGAGGAAAATGAACCTCCACAACATAAACTGTGAGCTTTTAACTTTATATAATTTATCTATGATACAAAGTTTACTTGTGTATTGTCTTGTCTGTATTCAGGGGT